TACTTTAAAGAGTCCTCTCCTGCTGATGTTCAGGTGTATATCAGTATGTAGTGTCTCTACTTTAAAGAGTCCTCTCCTGCTGATGTTCAGGTGTATATCAGTATGTAGTGTCTCTACTTTAAAGAGTCCTCTCCTGCTGATGGTCAGGTGTATATCAGTATGTAGTGTCTCTACTTTAAAGAGTCCTCTCCTGCTGATGTTCAGGTGTATGTCAGTATGTAGTGTCTCTACTTTAAAGAGTCCTCTCCTGCTGATGTTCAGGTATATATCAGTATGTAGTGTCTCTATTTAAAGAGTCCTCTCCTGCTGATGTTCAGGTGTATATCAGTATGTAGTGTCTCTACTTTAAAGAGTCCTCTCCTGCTGATGTTCAGGTGTGTATCAGTATGTAGTGTCTCTACTTTAAAGAGTCCTCTCCTGCTGATGTTCAGGTGTATATCAGTATGTAGTGTCTCTACTTTAAAGAGTCCTCTCCTGCTGATGTTCAGGTGTATATCAGTATGTAGTGTCTCTACTTTAAAGAGTCCTCTCCTGCTGATGGTCAGGTGTATATCAGTATGTAGTGTCTCTACTTTAAAGAGTCCTCTCCTGCTGATGTTCAGGTGTATGTCAGTATGTAGTGTCTCTACTTTAAAGAGTCCTCTCCTGCTGATGTTCAGGTATATATCAGTATGTAGTGTCTCTACTTTAAAGAGTCCTCTCCTGCTGATGTTCAGGTGTATATCAGTATGTAGTGTCTCTACTTTAAAGAGTCCTCTCCTGCTGATGTTCAGGTGTGTATCAGTATGTAGTGTCTCTACTTTAAAGAGTCCTCTCCTGCTGATGTTCAGGTGTATATCAGTATGTAGTGTCTCTACTTTAAAGAGTCCTCTCCTGCTGATGTTCAGGTGTATATCAGTATGTAGTGTCTCTACTTTAAAGAGTCCTCTCCTGCTGATGGTCAGGTGTATATCAGTATGTAGTGTCTCTACTTTAAAGAGTCCTCTCCTGCTGATGTTCAGGTGTATGTCAGTATGTAGTGTCTCTACTTTAAAGAGTCCTCTCCTGCTGATGTTCAGGTATATATCAGTATGTAGTGTCTCTACTTTAAAGAGTCCTCTCCTGCTGATGTTCAGGTGTATATCAGTATGTAGTGTCTCTACTTTAAAGAGTCCTCTCCTGCTGATGTTCAGGTGTGTATCAGTATGTAGTGTCTCTACTTTAAAGAGTCCTCTCCTGCTGATGTTCAGGTGTATATCAGTATGTAGTGTCTCTACTTTAAAGAGTCCTCTCCTGCTGATGTTCAGGTGTATATCAGTATGTAGTGTCTCTACTTTAAAGAGTCCTCTCCTGCTGATGTTCAGGTGTATATCAGTATGTAGTGTCTCTACTTTAAAGAGTCCTCTCCTGCTGATGTTCAGGTGTATATCAGTATGTAGTGTCTCTACTTTAAAGAGTCCTCTCCTGCTGATGTTCAGGTGTATATCAGTATGTAGTGTCTCTACTTTAAAGAGTCCTCTCCTGCTGATGGTCAGGTGTATATCAGTATGTAGTGTCTCTACTTTAAAGAGTCCTCTCCTGCTGATGTTCAGGTGTATGTCAGTATGTAGTGTCTCTACTTTAAAGAGTCCTCTCCTGCTGATGTTCAGGTATATATCAGTGTGTAGTGTCTCTACTTTAAAGAGTCCTCTCCTGCTAATGATCAGGTGTATATCAGTATGTAGTGTCTCTACTTTAAAGAGTCCTCTCCTGCTGATGTTCAGGTGTGTATCAGTATGTAGTGTCTCTACTTTAAAGAGTCCTCTCCTGCTGATGTTCAGGTGTATATCAGTATGTAGTGTCTCTACTTTAAAGAGTCCTCTCCTGCTGATGTTCAGGTGTATATCAGTATGTAGTGTCTCTACTTTAAAGAGTCCTCTCCTGCTGATGGTCAGGTGTATATCAGTATGTAGTGTCTCTACTTTAAAGAGTCCTCTCCTGCTGATGTTCAGGTGTATGTCAGTATGTAGTGTCTCTACTTTAAAGAGTCCTCTCCTGCTGATGTTCAGGTATATATCAGTATGTAGTGTCTCTATTTAAAGAGTCCTCTCCTGCTAATGATCAGGTGTATATCAGTATGTAGTGTCTCTACTTTAAAGAGTCCTCTCCTGCTGATGTTCAGGTGTGTATCAGTATGTAGTGTCTCTACTTTAAAGAGTCCTCTCCTGCTGATGTTCAGGTGTATATCAGTATGTAGTGTCTCTACTTTAAAGAGTCCTCTCCTGCTGATGTTCAGGTGTATATCAGTATGTAGTGTCTCTACTTTAAAGAGTCCTCTCCTGCTGATGTTCAGGTGTATATCAGTATGTAGTGTCTCTACTTTAAAGAGTCCTCTCCTGCTGATGTTCAGGTGTATATCAGTATGTAGTGTCTCTACTTTAAAGAGTCCTCTCCTGCTGATGTTCAGGTGTATATCAGTATGTAGTGTCTCTACTTTAAAGAGTCCTCTCCTGCTGATGTTCAGGTGTATATCAGTATGTAGTGTCTCTACTTTAAAGAGTCCTCTCCTGCTGATGTTCAGGTGTATATCAGTATGTAGAGTCTCTACTGTGACATGTCTCCATGCTTTAATGTTCATATTATTTGTCTCATACTGCCTGTGCTGCAGCACCTCTTTTCACCCTCTGTCTGAAACCAGAGCCCAGTCTGCTCTGATTGGTTAGCTGGCCGGCTCTGTTGTGATCGTCATGTGATTAAGTCTTTATCTGAGTTCATGCATGATTCAGCCTGCATGCTGTAGAATAACATATCAGGTTAGACCGGAGCCTGTCTGTAATTAAATGTGCAGTTTATTGTGTGGAGGCAGGAGGAATGACGGACACATTTCTGTACTTCAGATCAGTAACTAGTGGCGTGTTTGCTGGAGAGCCACCATGCATAATTAGAGGTGGGAGGTAGTGGAGTACAAATTATTTGTTACTGTACTTCAGTACATGTTTCTGGTATCAGTACTTTACTCCACTACTTGTTTTTCTGACCACTTTTTACTTTGACTTCTTACATGTTGAACCCAAATACCTGTACTTTCTACTTCTTACATGTTGAACACAAATACCTGTACTTTCTACTTCTTACATGTTGAACACAAATACCTGTACTTTCTACTTCTCTCATTTTCCAAACAGGCTGGTTCCTTTAGTTTGAATGTGTGTTTGGTGGCGTGATCATTATTATTTAGAGTCATTGCGTGCCTATTGATTTGAACACGATCCGTGTATCCATCATTTCCTGGTCTTCTCTAAAGAAGAGGGACCAATGAAAACGTTGTCATGTTGCCGTTGTTCAGCATGGAAACATTCATTAGCTAACAATGACATTATTGTTCTATTAATATAAAGGGAGGTCAGGTACTCTTTAAAACAGCTGCTAGTTATGGGTACTTTTTACTGAAGTACATTTCAAAGCCATCTTTACTTTCACTTGAGTAAAGAAGTTTAGTCAGTACTTCTACTTTCACCAGAGTACTTTTAAACACCAGTATCTGTACTTCTACTTGAGTAAAGGATGTGTGTACTTTTGCCATCTCTGTGCATATGTGCTGTTGACTTTCAGCTCTGTTTAGACACACACACACACACACCCTCAGTTTCAGTTGACTCTTGGGGAGTTCACAGCAAACACAGAGGCGTTACGTTTGTTTGGAAAGTGTCAGTCACAGATTTCACATGTCCTGCCTCAGTTTTGTGTGACAGGCTCATTCAAGTATGCTCCCTGGTTAATTTAGGTACAGTTAATCCACAGTGTGTGTGTGTTGCTCCGTTTGAATAGCAAGCAAGCACCTTAGAGAGGTGCTGGATGACTGATTTTTGCTTTGGACCCTGAAAGCAGCATCTCCCTGGTTCAATGGGATTTTGTATTATTGCAGAAAAGAATCTCTGTGTCAAACAAACGTTTATGATTCTTACAGGTTTAGTTCAGCAGGATAATCTCTACATTTAAACACCACTTTATGATGAAAAAGCTAATGTTGGGCTATAAAGGAACTACAGCACGGTCACATGACTTCACGTCCCCACCGCTAAGCTAAAGGTGGCTAATGTTGGGCTATAAAGGAACTACAGCACGGTCACATGACTTCACGTCACCACCGCTATGCTAAAGGTGGCTAATGTTGGGCTATAAAGGAACTACATCACGGTCACATGACTTCACGTCCCCACCGCTAAGCTAAAGGTGGCTAATGTTGGGCTATAAAGGAACTACATCACGGTCACATGACTTCACGTCACCACCGCTAAGCTAAAGGTGGCTAATGTTGGGCTATAAAGGAACTACAGCACGGTCACATGACTTCACGTCACCACCGCTAAGCTAAAGGTGGCTAATGTTGGGCTATAAAGGAACTACAGCACGGTCACATGACTTCACGTCACCACCGCTAAGCTAAAGGTGGCTAATGTTGGGCTATAGAGTGGCGAAGTCCCTCCCTTTCCAGTGGAACTCATGGGACCTTATTTCGGAAAAATTATGTATTGGAGTCAATGGAGAGAGAAAACGTATCTTTCGATCCCGTTTGAATTGTGCCATGAATTACACATATGATGTTTTTTTTTTTTACTTGCAAAATTATCTTTTAAGATTGACAAACATCATATGTGTAATTCGTGGCACAATTCAAACGGGATCGAAAGATAACTTTTCTCTCGCCATTGACTTCAATACATCATTTTTCCGAAATAAGGTCCCATGGAGGTCCACCGGAAGGGGAGGGACTTCGCCACTCTATAAAGGAACTACAGCACGGTCACATGACTTCACGTCACCACCGCTAAGCTAAAGGCGGCTAATGTTGGGTTGAACTACATCAGGTGCTCCTCAGATGTTCTCATTGGAACGAGTTTGGGAATTTGTCCTTCTGATTGTGTAATATAATAGAGAATAGAATATGGCCCCTTTTTTAAGGAGCAGTTTTAAATCAGTCCAATGTGTGTTTAGGTGGGGTCCTTCAGTATAATAACATTTTATTTCTTTTTATTTCACAGACCACACGTCAGGAAACACCTCCCTGGACATTCTGCTGGCCCTTCTTCAGGCGGAGGGAGCCAAAATAGAGGAGGAGACAGAGGTGATTTCTTCCTCCATGTTTCCCTCAGTGACATCAGACAGTCATTTATATACCTGATGTCCTCCCTACAGAGGAGGCATTGTTCAGTCTAATAGGGATCGACCGATATGGCTTTTTCAAGGCCGATACCGATTATTAGTAATCAAGGAGACCGATAACCGATATTTGGAAATCTTGGTGTCAAAACTTCTTTGAAATGCATTTAAGCATATATTATGTTTAATGAACTTTTAAACATCTTACAACTGGTTTCCTCTCTGTGCCCTTTTCTTTAGTGCAGCCATCTGCAATGAGTTAGAGAGAGACAGAGAGTTCAAAGTGGGGCTGCAGGCTGACGTGCTTAACTAACAATAATGCTTAATTTATTATATCAAACAATGCCTGTCTATCTAGCATCAAATCCCAATAAGCTGCTAGCAACTGCAAAACACTAGTGCTAGCTAATGTTTTGCAAAATATTAAAAGTGAGGCTATTACAGTAGACCTAACGTTAGTCTAGTAGCCTCACTTCTAATATTTTGCTAAACATTTGCTAGATACATGTTGGCTAGCTAATGAGCTTCACATATCAACCTGAAAAACTGATAACTTCATGTTGGAGGGTTTGATAACTTCCTATTGGAGGGTTTGATAACTTCCTGTTGGAGGGGTGGATAACTTCCTGTTGGAGGGGTGGATAACTTCCTATTGGAGGGTTTGATAACTTCCTATTGGAGGGTTTGATAACTTCCTGTTGGAGGGGTGGATAACTTCCTGTTGGAGGGGTTGATAACTTCCTATTGGAGGGTTTGATAACTTCCTATTGGAGGGTTTGATAACTTCCTGTTGGAGGGGTGGATAACTTCCTGTTGGAGGGGTTGATAACTTCCTATTGGAGGGTTTGATAACTTCCTATTGGAGGGGTGGATAACTTCCTGTTGGAGGGGTGGATAACTTCCTGTTGGAGGGGTGGATAACTTCCTATTGGAGGGTTTGATAACTTCCTATTGGAGGGGTTGATAACTTCCTGTTGGAGGGGTTGATAACTTCCTATTGGAGGGTTTGATAACTTCCTATTGGAGGGGTTGATAACTTCCTATTGGAGGGTTTGATAACTTCCTATTGGAGGGTTTGATAACTTCCTATTGGAGGGGTTGATAACTTCCTGTTGGAGGGGTGGATAACTTCCTGTTGGAGGGGTTGATAACTTCCTGTTGGAGGGGTTGATAACTTCCTATTGGAGGGTTTGATAACTTCCTATTGGAGGGTTTGATAACTTCCTATTGGAGGGGTTGATAACTTCCTATTGGAGGGTTTGATAACTTCCTATTGGAGGGTTTGATAACTTCCTATTGGAGGGGTTGATAACTTCCTATTGGAGGGTTTGATAACTTCCTGTTGGAGGGATTGATAACCCTCTCCCACTCCCCACTTGTTAGTTTGAAATTGACCGCACCACCATCTCTCCCCTTCTGTCTGCAGAACATGGCCGACTGCTTCCTAGACGGAGACATGCCTCTGGACTCCTTCATCGACTCGTACCAGAGCAACAGGAAGTTGGCCCACCTGCGGAGGGTGAAGATCGAGAAGCTTCAGGAGATGGTGATGAACGGCCATCGGCTCCCCACGGTCCCAAACTCTCGATCTCAGGACGTTCCTTCGTCTGTCGCCTCGCTGATTAACGGCAGCAGCGGATCGTCTCCCGCCGCTCAACCCAGGAGGAAAAGCCCTCCATCCCAACCGGCGCCAATTCTCAACCAATATCCCGCCGCCGAACCCCCTGCTGTCTACTCTCCGTACCCGCCGATCCCTCCCAGAACGGGTCAACCTTTCCCCGACGTCTCCTCTGGATACCCCGCCCACTTCATGTCTCAGTACCCCCCCGCCGTGCCTCAGAGGCCCGCCCCTCGTCTGGCCCCGACGCCCGGCTTCATCATGCAGTAAACAACACTCTTGACTTTTTAATCACTTTAATGGAAAAACTCCTTGAGAACTATTTTTCTACGACGCCTTCTCGGGGGAAATCGCGGGAGACAAGGCGGACGTGCAGCGGCTGGTCGGGTCGGCTGAAGCAGATCTTATCCCCGAAAAAGTGGATTTTCTTTTTGCGCTCACTCCCATTATTTTAACACTCCACATCGGCCTCGCTGTCCTGCGTCCCTCCAGAGGAAGCGCAGGAGGATCTTTCTCTCAGCACCTTTCAAACAAGCTTTTCCGGAGCACATTTAAAAATAAAAGATTTGATTTCCACCCGCAGCATAATGAATCAGCGGTATATGCAAACAAAGAGAGACCCTAATTACTGTGCAGGCTTCAGGAGAATCTGCATCTATGCTGTGATTTTACTTTCTCTTTTTTTATTCTAAATTCACAAGGTACATAGGAACATATTGGAGCTTCTTTTTTTTATAAAATATAGTACTAATGGAGTTAATATTAGACTGATATTAACGTATGTGAAGGTGTTTCTTCTCGGGAGGTCTACTGGTCCAAGAGGGCCGAGCGTTGACCTCAGAAGTCAAAGGGAGTGGAAGAAGAGACGTTGAACTGTCGTAGTAATCGAGGAGGCGAGTGCAGCCTCGTGCTAAATGAAGGATTTTGTATAGCCATTGATGTTCTCCGTGGGTTCTTGTTGACCTGCAGCACTCCTTTATACTGTCCTCTGTCTTACGGTGCGTTCACAACCGGACGTGGAGCGAATGCTTGCCTTTAGAGTTTGACCGCGGCATCGTTGGTGTTTACTTGCGTCACTCAAAGTAGATGTGCTGTCGAGGAGGCGGGGCTTATCTCCATATAGATACCAATACTAACATATATGCCATGGTGTAAATGTAATACACAAAATGATGCTGGAATAACATCATACTGATATCGATGCATGTAATGGATATCGATCAGGCTATGCTAAGCTACCGTAGTAGATTCTCCGTCCCGCTCAAAATAACATCATACAGACAATAATAACGCACCGACTGTATTTGCCGTGGACCGTCTGTGGTTTGTACACTTTTGAAAACACTGATATTTCTCCCGTTTCTGAACAAGTAGGAGGAAATGTGTGCTAACCGCTAACGGCTAACGGCTGCTGTATGGTTGTATGTATCAACAACGGCAGAAACGACCGATGGAGATTCTCACCGCTGATTGGCTTTTTGTAAAAATAGTCAACCAAATGTATCGCTGGAGTTGAAAAATGGAAGTCTTATGAATACAGCGTAGCCATATCATCAGTTTCATTGGCGCCGCCGTCTTTTCATTGACTTTTTAAATGCTAAATATTCGCTCCCCGTCCGTTGTGAACGCTCCGTTAACGTTGGGATTGGACATTGGTGCCAACAGCTCTTCGGATCTCATCTGGTTCTGTCACCGAGCACCAAAGATCACTCCAAACTTTTTTTATTTTAAGTGAGACATGTAGTCAAACCATTGTTCCCAACATATCTGTGTGTTGCTCAAACACTCTTTTTGTAAAGCGAGACATTGTTTTCTTCAGGAGGAACTTGCCAGGTCCACCAGGCTTTGAGAGGAAATGTTGTTTTTTGTTTTGAAAATCACTCCCGTCGCTGTGCACTGTTGAAGAGCCGCGAGTGCCTACACTTGAAGTATCACGTCCTGCTGACTGCTCCATGTCAGATCGACCCCCCCAACGACAAACTTTCTGAGCATTCAGTGTCTTCATCCTCCTGCTACTGATCTCCTGTTCCACCAGATGGCAGAAACAAGGCGGTCTGACGGTGCTTCTTTCCCATTCCTCCTCCATAGAGTGGTGCAGGAATGAGTCCTAAAACCCTGAAATGAGTCGGCACTTTTATCACTTCCTGTTCCCTCGCTTGGATGTCAATTGTTTTGGATAAATAAGATCTATGGGTAACATATTGACACCACTTTTTTAGTAGTTGAAGCATAAATGCAATCTCCAGAAGTAGAAAACTAACGTGATGCTATAAAGGCACGGTCACCACCGCTAAGCTAAAGGTGGCTAATGTTAAGTCATGTGACCGTGCTGTAGTTCCTTTAAAGCCCAACATTAGCCACCTTTAGCTTAGCGGTGGTGACGTTAAGTCATGTGACCGTGCTGTAGTTCCTTTATAGCCTAGCGTTAGCTTTGTACTCCAGAAATCATAAAGTGGTGTTAATATGTGGAGATTATCCTGCTGAACAAAACAAGGGACATGCTGCCTTCAGGGTCCACTACAAAAATAGGTCATCCCTGCACCACTCTGAAACATCGAGGTTTGCATGTGTTGTGCTGTTTTTATTTTTTATTATTGGTGAAATAACAGGGCCCTGAAAAGTTTCGTGTCATATCTTGGTGATCAATCAGTGATGAATCGTCACGATGAAGCATTTAACGACTAACTAATGGATAACTCTTCTGTGCATGGCCTTCGCTCTTCGTGTCCAGTCTGAAGATCCCTCTTACCTCTTACCTAATACCTTTTATTTCTCGTCTAGCCGTTGAGCTGTAAGTTTGAACTGATCCTCTCTCCATGGTTTTATATGTGGTTGGTGATATTCTCAGTGTAATGTTGTAGGTGTTTACTTATAATGAATGTTTAAGTGGAATTTAATGCTATTTTCAAGTTCAATAAATCTCAAATTTTTGTATCTGCTTTCATCCAGTTGCTTTTTTTCACATGAACACTGAGGGAGATATTTAAATATAATAACATGAATGATACATGATAAAAACACTCACCTGTCTGTCTACCTGTTCATCTACTTGTCTACCTGTCTTTGTCCATCTCGTTTGTCTCTAACCTGCCTGTCTGTCTGTGTGCCTGTCTGTGTCTGTGTGCCTGTACACTCAGTTTTGCACTGAGCAACAGGTTTCTTAGAAATGAAACAGGCTCGCCCTCTAGTGGACATATATAATATATCAGAATGAACAAATAAATACTTTTACTTGTTTTAATTGTATACTCCCTTATACTTCTACTCCACTACTTTTTAGAAAGTCTTCTTGCTCTTCATACTTAGTTTGAGTGGAGATTACAAATAAACAAATACATAAACATTGATATATATAATTATATGTTAAGATCGGTGGCGTACTAAGGACTCAAGAAGTACTGTACTTCAGTCAAACATTTTGAGAACTTGTACTTAAGTAAAAGTAGAAGTACTCAGATCTTGTACTGGAGTAAAAGTAGAAGTACCAGAGTGTAGGAATCCTCTGTTACAGTAAAAGTCCTGCATTCAAAATGTTACTCAAGTGAAAGCAGAAAAGTATTATCATCAAAATATAGTTAAAGTACCAAAAGTAAAAGTAGTCAATATTTCCTTCTTTATGTCTCTATATTTTGCTCTGTATATGTACCTGTGTACCCCTGATGTCAGTATGTTGGGTGTATATAATGTCTGATGCATGTATATATATTTCTTCTTGAATAAAGCAGGAAAAAGACGTACCTCTTCCTCCACTGTACGTCAGATTTACGTCGACGTCAACGTACGTACGCAATGTTTGTATTTTGGAAAGCGCCCCTCACCACGTGTTACGTTTCCATGGTTACGTTACATCACCAAGCAACCTGGAAGCGTTGAAGCAGATTTGTAGGAATGACCGTAGCGGCCAAACGGTAGTACTACAACTTCCGTGACGTCATGTTGGACAACAAATACTTTTCCCCCATTGACTAACACTGGGAAAGAGACGTCTGTAAACCAGGTCTAAAAAGTAGTAAAAAACTCTTAAAGCTGAATCCGGATTTATTTTTCTCTCCATCCATTTGACTGAGCCGAGAACGGGAGATCGGAGGCGGGGCTTACGGGAAAACTCCACTGCGCATGCTCAATGGGCCCACACACGGGTACTCATGCTCGGGCAATTTAGGGCTTCTTGCGCCACTGTGCAACTCTCATAGGAATAAACTGGGCATAAAAAGTGTAACTGAGTACAAAGTAGAAGTACTCAGATCTTTTAAAAGTAGATTATCATTAAATATAGTTAAAGTAGAGACAGTAAAAGTAATCATTGTGCAGATTGTCCATTTCAGAATAATATTATTGATATGTTTTATAATGATTGATCATTAAAGTGTTATTAAAGCTGGTAAAGGTGCAGCTAGTTTGAATGACTTTGTATACTGCAGGGTAGCTTGTGGATTTACTCCAGGTGGAACTAAAGTCTGATTTAACACTTGATTATATTTCACATCATTCATCCACATCTGTAAAGTAACTAAAGGTATTAAATACATGTAGTGGAGGAAAAGTACACCATTTACCTCTGAACTGTAGTGGAGTAGAAGTACAGAGTAGCATAACATTTAAATATTCAATTGAAGTACCTCAACATTGTACTTAAGTACAGTACTTGAGTAACTGTTCCTCCCACTTTTGGGAATGTTCTTGAATAACTAACAATCAGAATACCTTTATGAGGGGGAAATGTACATTGTTACAGCAGAAAAGAGCCAAAGACAGCTTAATGTTACCTAGAAGCATCTATCTATCTATCTATCTATCTATCCATCTATCCATCTATCTATCCATCTATCTATCTATCTATCTATCTATCTATCTATCTATCTATCTATCTATCTATCTATCTATCTGTCTGTCTAAATAAAGTCCTATCTTATCTTATGAATATGTTTATACCTTTATATATACAGTCTATGGTTTATATATGTTATTGAGTGGCCCCGCCCCCTCTCTCTCTACATCCCGCGTCATATGACAGCTAAGAGGGGAGGAAACACCGAGGAAACACCGAGGAGCTGCTGCTGCTGCATCTTGGAAGGACTCTGTGTTTTTTAAGCGTACTAAAAAAACCGCTATTTTACGTCCATCTGTCTTTTTCTCGTCCGCGCGACACAGAAGATGAACCAACCGTTTTCCGTTGCTCTCCGTCCGGTGACTTTAGGACGTTCAGCCGGCTAACTAGCTGAGAAAAGAGTTACTAAATCGGATTATCTGATAACGGCAGCCTCCCTCTTTGCTCACAGCGAGGTATTATTAGCTGGAAACACAGCAAACGTCGCCTTTTTTGTTTTTTTAAATACATTTCTTTATTTGTGTCTACTGTAATCAGTGGTTAATGTTGCTGTGAGCTAAGCTAGGTTATTAGCTGTTAGAAGCACAGCTTGTTGGGAACAGTAGTTGCTCTGACAGACAGGTGATGTGTTAGTCAGATTCTCTTTTTTATTCACATATATATTAACCCGTTGAGAAGAAGCAGAAGATGTCAGGAAAGGATAAAGACAAAGACAAACAGGAGAAGCAGTCCACCACGGAGCGCCTGGTGAAAGGTGAGTGTTTTTAACGTGTTTACAGGTACGGAAGAGGATTAGGACCACAGGAGGAAAACAATTTGGGATGTGACCAAGAGTTACAAAAAATAAAAAATAAATGTTGGAGTGACTTTAATCTCAGGGTTTTGAGAAAAAGTCTGGATTCTGTGATTTTTTTAAATAAAAAAAAAATCAGATAATTAACAAAACAAATCTGATAAAATACTATATTTAAGTTTTTCAGAATTCTGGCAATAAAGTCAGAACTCAGAGATTGTCCCCCCAGAAATGAAAAGTCAGAAGATGATACAAATAAATATTTTTTCATAAATAATAAGTCAGAAAAAAATAAATATATATGTATATTTTTTTTATTCTGAGATTTAAAAAAAAAAAAAGATCAGAAAAAATAAATTCTCAGAATCTTGAGATAAAAACACACACACACACACACACACACACACACACACACACACACACACACACACACACACACACACACACACACACACACACACACACACACACACACACACACACACACACACACACACACACCAGGCTTGGAATTTCGTCATTTTAGGAGCAAGGCCATTTTGAGATTAAAGTCAGAATAATTGTTTATTTAGAAAAAAATACTTCAGAAAATGATCCATATATATATATTTCAGAATTCTGAGATAGAAAAAAATACTTCTCAGATCATAATTTTTTTTCTTCTAAATTCTGAGGAAAAATAAATCTGAATTTTGAGATTAATAAAAAAAAAAAAAAAAAAAAATCTGTTATAAAATCAAAGTCTGAATTCTGAGATTTTCAAATACATTTTTCAGAATTCTGAGATGCAACTTTTTCTTAAACACTTTTGGTGACATCCTTCACATGTTTTCTCGTGTCCTCTTATCCTCTCTGTATTAATGCATCACACATGATCTAATTGAATAATAATAACACATGGATTAAAACCACCTGTGGATTTTTGGGATAGCTTTGACCCAATAGGATAGAATAGAATTGGGAGGGATGAAACCCTCTGTAATGGTCTCACATGCACAGCACACACAGTGACATTTGGCCTCTGCATTTAAGCCATCCTAGAACCAGGAGTCTAGTACCAGGAGTCTAGTACTAGGAGCAGTGGGCAGCTATTGTACAGCGCCTGGGGAGCAATGGGAGTGAGGGGGGGAACGGGGGGTGTCCGGTGCCTTGTTCAAGGGCACCACGGCAGGGCAGGAGGTGAACTGGGACCTCTCCAAGTAGCAGTCCACACTCCATATTTAAGGTCTGTTTGGGGACTTGAACCGGCAACCCTACAGCTCACAGTCCAAGCCCCTAGTGACTGAGCCACTGCCTGGTGACATCCTTCACATGTTTTCTCATGTCCTCGTATCCTCTCTGTATTAATGCATCACACATGATCTAACTGAATAATAATAACACATGGATTGAAACCACCTGTGGATTTTTGGGATAGCTTTGACTCAAGCTCTTCCTGTCAAAAAGGCGAGTGGCTAATATATGTTACTAAAGATCCAGAGCAGGACAATGATATATTGGGAGGCGCAGTGGACTAGTGCGTTGGTGTTGGGATCAGGGGAGCACAGGTTCAAACCCCACTGCAGTCAGCATGTCGTTGTGTCCCTGAGACACTTCACCCCAAAGTGCTCCTGTGGGGATTGTCCACAGTATTGAGTATGCAAGTCGCTCTGGATAAAAGCGTCTAACAAGTGACATGTAATGTAATGTAATATTTGGGTGGGGAGATTTAGCCTTAAGTGGAATTTAATGCTATTTTCAATACATCTCACATTTTTCTATCTGCTCATATGCAGCTGCTTTGCTTCACTATGGAGTCTTAAGAGGGACGTTTCCCTGAAGTAAATAAATCACTGTGCACATACATTGGAATAAAAAGGGGAACAAGTAGGTGTATAAAGATGAAGTGCAAATATTAAGGAAAAAATGTAGTATTTTTTAAGATGAAGAATAATTTTTAGGAATGTAAATTAAAATGATTTTATATTGGTATTTTGTGTTTATATTTCCATATATTTTTACTAATTTATATATAAAAAAATGTATCAACAAATATATAGAATTGTGAACAAATAAATCAAAAATGTTGAAGACCACCTGTGGATTTTGGGATAACTGACCTAAAGTTGTGGAAAGTACATTTACTCAACGATTATACTTATGTTCTTATTTTTACATATTTGTACTTAACTTAAGTATTTCCATTAAATGTTCCTTTATACTTCTACTCCACTACAATTCAGGAGACAGTATTGCACTTTTGAATTCACTACATTAGTTAACACTCACATTTACTTTTGTACTAAGAATGTTGTACTCAGTCAAATGTTGAAATCACGACTTTGTACTTAGGTAGTTAGTGTGTGTGTGTGTGTGTGTGTGTGTGTGTGTGTGTGTGTGTGTGTGTGTGTGTGTGTGTGTGTGTGTGTGTGTGTGTGTGTGTGTGTGTGTGTGTGTGTGTGTGTGTGTGTGTGTGTGTGTGTGTGTGTGTGTGTGTGTGTGTGTGTGTGTGTGTGTGTGTGTGTGTGTGTGTGTGTGTGTGTGTGTGTGTGTGTGTGTGTGTGTGTGTGTGTGTGTGTGTGTGTGTGTGTGTGTGTGTGTGTGTGTGGTGTGTGTGTGTGTGTGTGTGTGTGTGTGTGTGTGTGTGTGTGTGTGTGTGTGTGTGTGTGTGTGTGTGTGTGTGTGTGTGTGTGTGTGTGCGCTCTGGAACTGGAGTATCTATCCTGTGGAAAATGGGTATTAAAACTATTTAGTAATATATCTTTTTCACTTACCCTTTAAAAAATATTTTCACTACATGCTTTTGATACCACTTAGAAAACTTGACCCAACATTGAGGGAGTACCATTTAAGAGTTGAATATGTGTGTGTGAGAAGAGAGAGCAGAACCAAACACAGCTGGTGCCGGAGAGTGAGTCACTTGGAAAATGGTTATTAAAATATATCGTCTCTGGTCGCGTCCACAGGGACGGCAGTAACGGGGCTCAGGGCTTCTTTTTCCTATGTCCATATACACTGATGTACAATGAAGGCTTTGTTACTTTAAAATGTATTCTCTATTTCTTAACGGCTCCTTTTATACTTGTATATGTTCACTTACATTTTAAAACACTGAAACATATTTTTTATATTTTGTAATGACGTGTGCTTGATGATGATTCAACTCTTTTCCTTTTGTAACTGTGCTGTACATTTGCTGATGTAATGTCGTACATTTTCCTGATGCGGCACGAAGAGAGGGTTTATTTGTATTTGACAGATATTTGTATTGGCATTTCGACGTTACACATATGTATACCCCCCAAACAAAACCAAAAATAACAACAACAACAGGGTTTAGTCTGCACCGGGTAACAGATGCGCCCTCAAACCAAAATGCAGATTTTCCCCGTAAAATGTTGCCAGAAAACAATATTTCTGTTGCTCGAAAACGGTATAATTCCTCCAGAAATCTGAGTATCAAACAGAGCGTCAGACGGCAGAGACAGCTTTGTTTTACGGAGCTCCGACGCCACGTTGTTGTTTACGGCCGCGGTGCCGTCTTGTTTACGAGCGTCCTGTTCTCGAGATAATTGATAAATCTTATAAACAAGATCAGCGCCACAGTATCGCCTCATCGAAAAATTGCTGCAAATATATATACAAATACATGTAGTAAATAATTAGTCAAACTATGTAGTTGGACATGTGCAATTGTCTAATGTCTTATCACCTGAATCTCTTCCTAGAGCACCATTGAGTTCTTTGTAACCAAATCTCTCTCAGAGGGGCGTGGGGAGGGGCTCCTTATTTTCATCTAAAGTAACAGACAGAGAATCAGCACTTTGGAAACAGGGCTGAAACAGAGGGGATTATGGGTAATGCTGCAATGATCTGTTTGGTGTTAACAGTATCATAGGGGACCTTTAAAAGGACTCCAGGTTGTGGTTCATAGAGGCGTCCGTAGTGTTGCTCTGCTGTGTAACTGAGCACCAATCAGAGGTGAGGAGTGGGTTATATCCGGGCTCAGTCTCCTTGACATTTAGGACGGATGAAATCTTAATTCTTGAGGTGGGATGACCCGGCTCTGCTCCGGTTACAGAATAACTCCAGTGGTCCCAGACCAGGGCTGTAAAGTGAGTAGATTTACTCAAGTACTTTAAGTACAATTCTGAGGTACTTTACTTGAGCTACTGTGTACTTCTACTCCACTACAGTTCAGAGGTACATGGTGTACTTCTACTCCACTACATGTATTTAATCCCTTTAGTTACTTTACAGATGTGGATGAATGATGTGAAATATAATCAAGTGTTAAATCAGACTTTAGTTCCACCTGGAGTAAATCCACAAGCTACCCTGCAGTATACAAAGTCATTCAAACTAGCTGCACCTTTACCAGCTTTGAGAACACTTTCATGATCAATCATTATAAAACATATCATATATATTATTCTGAAATGGACCAATCTGCACAATGACTACTTTTACTGTCGCTACTTTCACTGTATTTTGATGAGAATACTTTTATACTTTGACTTGAGGAACATTTTGAATGCAGGACTTTTACTGTAACAGAGTATTCCTACACTCTGGTACTTCTACTTTTACTCAAGTACAAGATCTGAGTACTTCTACTTTTACTCAAGTACAAGATCTGAGTACTTCTACTTTTACTCAAGTACAAGACCTGAGTACTTCTTCCACCTCTGCTCGGGACACACCCAGTTGTGTCTCCCCCTCAAAACAGGACAGACATATCCAAGTGTAAGGAGGGAACCCCCCCCCCTCCTCCTTAATGCCACACACTGCATCCCTGTCTGTCCTGCCAGCGGACAGGAATGCTGAAGTGTGAGCCAGTAGGGAGAGGGTGAGTTAATTGTGGAAAGAATCTCCCCAGTGATGTTCCCAACATGGCCAGCCACATGGTGGAGAGGGAGAATAGGAACGTGACAGAAGAGGGGAAGAAGAAGAAGAAATGTAGACGAGTACTGAGACCACTG